TGAGTCCCGGGGCCTCCTTTGGGGTTGCTTTGGGTTTATTTTTCCTCTTGGCTTTGGGAAACAAAACCCCTGGTTGGGGGGCCCAGGTTCTGTTCAGGGGGACAGACTGTGCTGTGTGGAGGGACAGCTCCAATCCCTCCTCTCTCAGGAGCCAGGGAAGGGCTGGAGCTGTGCCAGGGCAGGCTCAGGTTGGATCTCAGGAAAATCCTTCCCCCAGAGGGTGATTGGGCACTGACCAGGCTCCCCAGGGCAGTGGGCACAGCCCCAGGGCTGCCAGAGCTCCAGGAGGGTTTGGGCAATGCTCTGAGGGACAGGGTGGGATTGTTGGGATATCCTGGACTGGATGATCCTTGTGGTTCCCTTCCCTCAGGATATTCCACGACTGAGCTCTGGTAAAGGTTCACATCAGCTACAAAAACAACTGCTGGATGTGTTTTCTTCTTTCTCCTCCATCTTTCAGCTAAACTTGTAAAAATAAGTATTCTGGAAGTGGTGTGGAGTCAGTAGAAAGCTTGAAGTGCTCAACAGCCCTCTTTGTTAGAAAGCTAGCCAGCAAATTTTCAGAAATGTGAAAATATCCATTTATTTCTCATAGTGAATGAATTGTATTAAACCAAATAAGTATTATTGAGCAGAATTGTTCAGATCTAAGATAAAACCTGTACTACCATAAAATTACATATCCTTTTAGCTTCCAACCAATTCTCAAGCTACAGGTCCTTGAGAACTTTCTGGTGGGCTGACTGGAGGGACAGTCCAGTCTCTCCTCTGCCTCCTCCCAGGGCTGCTGTGCTTGGGTTGTTGCCATGGAAATATGACATCTTCAACTTTCCTTTGGTCCTTTCCCAGGCAGAGGATAAAATTAAGCACCTGTTGGAAGGAGAATTCCTCATGGACATTATCAGGTCACTCAGATACAATTGCATAAGAGACTGGAAGGTGCTTCTCCTCTGTGTTCATGGGACCAGAGTTACTCACAATTGAACTGCAGGATTATAACAACCCCTTTTTCTTTATTCACCTTGGAGGGGAAACATCCTTAAATTAAGGCATGTTTTTCCACGCCTTAGCAAATAAAAGGCTACAGGAAAGTTCCTTCTCAGAGCTCCAGCTCTTTGTGCTCTGGGTTAATCAGTCACCCCACAGAGAGGCAGAAACACCCCCCTGTTTAGGGGGCTGTTTGTGGAGATACATCTGTGCAGGCTGTGTCCAGCTGTTACTCACCCAGCCTTCCCTCCCTTCCCCCTTCCCTAGGAGGGGTTTGACGCCCTGGACCCCTTCGTGCCCATCCTGGTGCCCAACTACAGCCCCCGGGAGTTCGAGAGCTGCTACGGGTACTACCTGGAGCGCAGGTGGCTGCAGCACGAGCAAGGTCGGTGCCCCCGGGGCTCTGCCCGCCCTCTCTCAGTCTCTCTCAGTCTCTCTCGATCTCTCTAAATCTCCCTTTCTTTCTCTTCCTCTCTCCCCCAGCTCGCACGGAGGACGGGAAGGCGGAGCTGCAGTTCCTGAGCGGCTCCAACCCGCGGCAGCTGGACCGGCTGGCGGGGCCCCTGTAGGGCAGGAACGGGGCCGGGCCCCTTCCCCTGCCCCCAGCTCCTGCTCCG